ACCAGTAACGCTCCTTCTTTATGAACATTGAACCCTGTGTAATGGAGGGGAGCTGGGGTCCTGGCGCACTCTATATAAGCCACCACCCTCCTCTGGGACAGGGGTTCGCACCTTTTGTAATTCACACGCATATATCCAGTCGACCGCCTCCGGGCTCCGAGACGTAGGGCTGTTACTTCCTCCAAGAAGGGCCTGAACTCGTAAAACTCGCGTGTACAACTCGTCCATAGCTAGGATCTTGCCTCTACATTCCTACCCCCCCCCCCTATTCTACTGTCAGGCTTAGAACCACGACAACCACTTTAAACCACTTACAAATTTTCCACATAGATTTTCCTACCATTGAATATTCCCACGAACCACTGGTTCCTGGCTGTTGTCAATAGCCAAAAGAGGGAGATTTGAATTCTGGACTCACTCCAATCATGCAACAACCGCAAAGAAGTAATTGCTGTGGTGAGCCTCTAATAACATTTTACACAACTTACAGTTTATAATTGAGGCGGCACCTTATATGAGAACGTTATTCTTCTTACACAATATATGGAGCAAACGCATTATTTGAGGATGTGATTGGAAGGGAGGTGGGGTCCCTTCGTGGGGAGATAAATGAGAGAGAGAGAGAGATATGTATGTGCTCTAATAGAAATAGATAACCGACCGGCTATTTATTTTTTCTTCCTAGAAAATTTGCTACCGTTAGTGTTGGTTGTAACGGAAGGAGAGAAGACATGCACGCCCTACATTATGGGATTGTATGCAAAAGATCTTGGTGGATTCTAGAAACTTACATCCAATCCCATCAACGCGAAACAAAACACGTGTTTATCTCTTCGGCGAGAAATAAATCACTTGACTATAACCTACATGATCGTGTACCCAGCCTTTATATATGCTATATACGCATCAACCTAAACCTCACCACAACCCAGCCTTCCTCCTCGAATCCCAGCAGAACCAACGAATCTCACCATCACCATGACCATTGTCATGTCTTCCTATCATCCTGCTCCGTCCGTGAGGCCGGCACAGTCGACCACGAAGTAGTCGAAGTCTGGTGGACCGAAGCCCCTACCTTCATCGACAAATTCAGGTGCACCGAAGCCCCCCCCCCCACCTTCGTCGGCAAAGAAGGTATACAAATCTGTTTGATTCAACTCGTATATCAACTCGTGTATATCAGCATGACAGATCATACAAATCTCTGTGCTTATTCTTATCTTAAAATTAATTGAACTCATATAGATCCGCATGACGCGTCTTATGTGGATCCTAGAAACTTACGGCCAATCCCATCAACAAGAAACACAACACGTGTTTATCTCTTCGGCACGAAATAAATTACTTGATTGTATCCTACACGATCGTGTACCCAGCCTTTATATATGCTATATACGCATCGACCTAAACCTCACCACAACCCAACCTTCCTCCTTGAATCCCAGCACAACCAACGAATCTCACCATCACCATGACCATCGGCATGTCTTCCTATCATCATGCTTCGTCCGTGAGGCCGGCACAGTCGAGCAAGAAGCATTGGAAGTCAGGTGCACCAAAGCCCCTACCTTTCTTCGATAAATTTAGGTGCACCGAAGCCCCCTCCTTCGTCGACAAAGATGGTATACAAATCTGTTTGATTCAACTCATGTAGATCAACATGACACATCATACAAATCTCTGTGCTTATTCTTAGCTTAAAATTAATTGAACTCGTATATCAACTCGTATAGATCCGCATGACGCATCTTATGTGGATCCTAGAAACTTACGGCCAATCCCATCAACAAGAAACACAACACGTGTTAATCTCTTCGGCATGAAATAAATTACTTGATTGTAACCTACACAATCATGTACCCAGCCTTTATATATGCTATATACGCATCGACCTAAACCTCATCACAACCCAGCCTTCCTCCTTGAATCCCAACAAAACCAATGAATCTCACCATCGTCATGTCTTCCTATCATGATGAGGGAGACGCTATACCGGCGAGCAAGTTCAGCCCGGGTAGGCAGAGCACCATGAAGTAGCCATCACCGTCGCAGCAGACGTCGTCCCAGAAGCCGCAACACTTGTCACGAGATCATGC